TTTTGTCATTGTGGGATACTTATGCAAAAACTTTGGTTATATTGTATAATTATGCGAGGAGTAATCTTTCTAACACACCCTTTTTAGAAAGTATTAATGGGTGACTCTAAATGATATCCTCTTGGTGGGTTTATTTCCCAGGGAATTAACAAATTTCGAACATCGTGTCAATCAACATTATTTGGGTTGTCTATCTATATAGCTTCAACCTAATGGTTTGTTATGCTTCTATGCTTATACGGACTTTGGGAAACTTGATAAATCAGTCGTAATTTTCACTTGTGCTAACGATCAAACTTGCGGGTGTTATCCTTTATGTCAATTTCCCATGTTTGACATTAACTTCTAAGACCATGCCCTCTGACTATATTTCACCACCTTTGAACATGATTTATTATCGAGTTTGATGTTGGCTTTCTCACTGATTTCGCCCATTTTGGAACCATATTTGAGCCCTTCATCATTTGTAAACTTTCCTTAAAGTGAAACCTTGTGCTTCAGTATTATATGCCATGTTTGATGTAACATGGGAGTTCTTAGAACATATGTGTGGCTTGGTTATCTTTGTACCAATTTTCCATATCTTTAAACATTTATTGCGCCAGATCGAGGATTTTCATTATTACTTTGTAGTCTCTCTCTATTAACCAAGGTTTCTCATGAATCACTATGCATCATAGGTAAGTCTTGTAAATCGTGCTTCAATCAATGTTGATAAAATGACAATTTCAAGGCGAGCATGGAGGAATTTCACTTTGACCTAGAAGAATAAAGGACTAGGACGATGAATCTTACTAAAAGACAAAGAGTTATGTCGATTCATCAAGTAGGTGAAACCCCATAATGTCTCATAGACTCCATGGCGCTTTTTCTTGGTGTAAAAGATGATAATTCAAATATTTCACGTGTACATGTTCTTTTTGTGATGCTTTTCACTTTCTCGTTTCCTTATTGTTTGTTTTTATGTTGTTTTGGAATTGGCATGACGGATGTAAATATTCCTAAAAGGATAATGGAGTTTAAATTTGGTTCTTTAAGGTCTAGTCAAGTGATCTTACAATCACGTCGTCCCTAGATTCTCAAAAAAATTGGAACATGTCAGACAATACAAAAGACAATATGTGTTATTTGCCTTTTAGGCGAACTAAGTCCTAGATGTTCTTGACTGCCAAAGACCATCTTGAAGCGATTCTTTCTAATGACAAAAGTGAATCTCAATTTATACCTTCTTTTGCGACTCCTTTCCTTCGGATTGATAAAAAACTTGGGCTTTGGTTTTAAACATTGATGTTAATTGTGTGGTTGACTTGGGTCTTTCAAACATTCATATGAGCTTGTAGAATGTATTATTTACATGGTGAAGTTAATAACTTTGACTTGTCATTTCCTTGTGTCACACATGTCTCTATCTATAAGGGAGGAATAACCTGTCTAAGAGTTAAAGCAGACTAAGGTAAAGGCTTAGAGAGATGCCAAACGTCCCTTACAAGTTCAATGAAAGTTTGAAGAAGTTCATAAGATATTGAAATAGTGGGATGTAGAGCTTCGTCATTATTAAGAAAGTTAGAAGTGACCGTTAAGAATCACCAGATAAAAGAAATGTATCTTAGAGATTAAATCCAATTTCTAGATGAAGATAAAAATAGGACCAAAGTTTTGATATCCATTAGTGCAGGAAAAAGTAAAATAATAGAAGCTCAATTGTTAAATATAGAAAACATGTGCCTTTTGGAATTAACCTCAATCTTGGATATGATTTGAATCAATCTTGATGAACAAGAATGAATCTTTCTGATTGACCATTCCTCCAATTCCTCACTCGTCACTTGAGTTATTCAACCATACCTTGGTCGGAACATGATTCTGCTGCACAATGATTTGAGAAAGTGAATTGGGAAGAAAAGAGAAATTAGAGTTTTTGAAGAAAAGGGGAAGAAGATGGATGAAATTATGAAAAGTTTATCTCCGCGTTTATTTTTACTAAATTTATCTTGCTCTATGCACTTACAATAGTAGGATACCTCCATATTTATATATAATATTAATTGCACACCAAGTAATATCTAACTAATTAATAAAACAAATTCTAAGTTTTAACCATGTCGAGGTTAACTCCTTTGATGGTTATCTACTCCAACTACTATCGAATATAATTCAATTTGAATCTGTTGAATCTTACAACATGCTTAACACAAAGAATTATATATTTAACACACCACCTAATTCATTATGTATAAGCTATCTACATTCATCATAGTTCTCAATCTCTTGAATAATCCAACATGCACAACCTTTGTCATGATGTCTGTAATCTGATTCTCAGTTCTACAGTGTTCTAAGTTTAGCTTCTCATTTTCCACTTGATCTCGAAGATAATGGAACCTCGTTTAGATGTGTTTGATTCTTCCATGTTCTATTGGGTTCTTTGACATATTGATAGTATACATGTTGTCGATCTTCATGGCCATTGCTCCATGATCTTCTCCTAAAATATCCTCAATCAGGTTCACCATCCACGTTTCTTGACATGCATAGAGAGAGGTAACTATATACTCAGCCTCACATGATGACATCGCTACTACTGGTTATTTTCTTGAACTCCATGCAACTGGTGCACCACCTAACATAAACACATACCCAGCTGTGGGTTTTTTATCCTCAACATCACCACACCAACTCAAGTTGGTGTATCCTACTAGTTTGTATTCTTTTCCTTCATCTGCTATAGGAAACAAAATTCCATAGTCGAGAGTTCCTTTTAGATACTCTAGTATCCTCTTTGTGGCTGCTAGGTGTGATACCTTTGGCTTATGCATGCATATACTCACTATACCTACATTGTATGCTAGGTTATGCCTTGTGCGACAACATTTTCTTGATGATCCAACGAGTCTAATATACTGAGTTGGATCGACATCGTCTTCATCTAAGTCCTTCGATAGTTGCAATCTTGGTTTAGCAGGTGTCGAAGTTGCATTGGAATCTTCCATCTCAAATATTTTAAGTATTTCATTTGCATATCTTCTTTAATGCATCATCATAGATATACTACTTTTGTAGAATTCGACGACAAGGAAGTATGAAATGTTTCCTAGGTTGGACATTTTGAACTCCTTGCTCATATCACCTTTGAAGGCTTCAATCTCCATTTTGCAACTGCCTGTTATCAACAGGTCATTGACATAAAGACATAATATAAGTCATTCAGTCCTGCTTCTTCTGACATATACTTCATGCTCAATTGTGCACTTTACAAATTCCTTCTCTCAAGAAACTATCTATATTCTTATTCTAAGCTCCTGGAGCTTGCTTGAGTCTATACATGACTTTATGCAGCCTGTATACCTTTCATTCTTGGCCTTTCTTCACAACACTAACTGGTTGTGCTACATAAATCCCTTCATCTAGAGGGTAATTCAGGAATGCTCAATTGTTAGTCTGTGTTATGCATATGGTTGGCTATTTGAGGATAATACAGTTAAGGTTGGGTTTCATGGCATGTAAGGCTCCCAGACAGTATGGTACAGAGCCTAACAAAAAAGAAGGGATGCATATGGTATGAATATAATAAAGAGAGTGAGTAAGGGAGAAATCACTTAAACATGGAAACACCTGAACCAAACACTCAACCTATTACTACTACTTCTTCTATATCACTTCCTAAACTCTGTAAAAAGACTAACTCTCATAAAATAGAAAACCTTATTGAGTACTCTCATGTTCCTGAAGATGCTCAAATTTCTGACACAATACCTTCTCTGTTGAGTCCGTACAACATCTTCAAAAGAAAAAGAAGTGTTACCAGATCCATCCGAAATCTTATCTCTATAAATCGCCCTCATATGAAAGAGTATGTCTAGTTATCTAGACTAGACCAATGCAGCCTAAGAGCTAAAAACCAAGAGCAGTACGTAGATCTGGAGATTCCCCAATATCTCATAAACCACGGGAAAACTGAAGGATATACAGCCTTACACTTTGGGGCTGTCAAACTCATCCTTTCTCTTCATGGAAGGAAGAACCAACCCATCTTTTGCAAAATAGCTCTACTGGACTCCAGCTACCTTCACTATGAAAATATTGTGATAGGAACTGTTCTAACTACACTTCATGCAGGAAGTGTTATCATCACCATCTTCCCAAACTATAACGTGAGTCGTAATGATAACACCTTATCCACAAGACTGAAAGTACATATCCAAATCACCGGATCTGACCAAGTGCCAGAAGCTATGTCAGCCACCATCCTCCACCAAATAATATACCGCTTACAAAATCACTCGATAGACCTTCCTCTCTCAGGATGCTCTTCTGATTCACTATTGGTTGTCACCAATAGAGAAGAAGACATACCCTCCATAGTTCAGATTCCAAGAAAGATCACAAGGGAAGAATTAACTCAGTTAATTCCCCTTGAATGGATAACCAACTATGAGAAACTTCATGTTGAAAAAAGACCTATCCAATCTCAAGAGGCTACTTTCAGGAGATCCGTTGACAAGACAGTCAAGACGATCTTTAAAAATCCAGACGAAGGGTCGAGCTCAATATCTCCAATCTTCTAGAAAATGATGATCCAACCAGTTCTCAAAGAAGATTGGTGTCCTATTTATGCTGTTACAACAGAGGGAAAATCCATCTACACGGATAAAATAGATGGCCACTTCATTTGGGATGTTGATCCAGCAAGATGTGACCCAGATTGTGACTGCTAGATGCACGACGATGATATTGACCGAGATATCATTCTTCCTAAAACAAAGAAGAAGGGAAGGTGTAAACCCTCGCTGCCTCCTCAAAGGAGATCTGATCCAGACAATGGTCTATGGGTAGGAATCCATGGAAAAAAGGAACCCTTGTGTATCTATGAGGAAGGACTTAAAATCCTCAGGAAAGAAGGATTGTTACCTCTGGATGATCCGACTCTTATTACATGGTCACCAACAGACCATTGTAAACCGCTACATCCTCCAGCCATTGCTTAACCAATTCCTTGCTTTATGTATTCAACCATAACTTCAGAGTACGATCGACAATTTCCTACTTTGGAAAGAAAGATGGATCCAATCACAGGCAGAACATCCAAACCCTTCATTCATCCGAGTGAAGTCCAGCCCAATGGGAAGCTCAAACCTTTAACTCAGGCTGAGGAAGTTCTGAATTGGCAATCTGAAAACATGGTTTCTCAAAATGAAATTCTTCTAAACCTTGACAAAAAGGTAGATAAGATTGCTGAAAAAAGGGATGAGACAGATGAAGATCTCAAGGTTTTATCCCAAAAAATGCAGAAACATTACAAAAGCTTGAAAGCCCAAGTATCCCAGCTAGATCAGGATTTGTGGCAGATGTTAGAAGAGAGGGCTTTTGGTAAAACATTTGACCAAAAGGAAAGAGAAATCAGAAGTCTACAAAGCCAAGTAAAAGATATAGATGATTTCTTAAGAGCCTCTCATGAAAGAAAACCCAAACCTGTTGAATCTCCTTGGAAAGATCACTATGAATCATCAAAACAAAAAGGAGACGAGTCCCTCTTAGATGGTGACAACATCTCTAATCCAAAATCATCTTCTGATGAGACACCAAGATATTTTTTTCAACTAAAGCAGAATCTGAAGACAACATTTTCCCAAGACTCTTCATGACGAATGTAAAAGAGGAATAATCCTTTTTTGAAGAAGAATCCCCTGAAGAAACTCTTGTCCCTGAAAGGACTAAAGCAAACAGAGGTCCTTGGTTCACTTTTGATGATATACCACCTAGCCGCTGGTGAAAAAGACTACTTGAATTTAGAGCTTGGCTTGACACCTAAATGGTGAAAACAAGTGGAGATAGCTATAAGATCATCGAAGAATTTTGTTGTAGAATGACGGGCACGATGAAATAATGGTATCACAATCTTGGAGCTTTCAAACAAGATAAGTTACATCGGCTAGAAACTATAGCCAGTTTTCATGGGGTTCTTTACCGAGAATTTATCGGTGATATAGAAATATTTGATAGAAAAAATAGACAAGAATTCTTTGAGATGAAATGTTGTTCTCTCAAAACAAAAGACCTCGACAAACACTATCATAGGATGGCACAGAGGTATTATGTCCTTAATGGGTACAATGACCCAATTCTCAAAAATACATATGTATCCTCTCTATCACAAGAATTCCAGCCAGAAATTCATAGAATGTTAGCCACAACTCAAAAGGATATTAAAACTATGAGTCTCGGCCAGATTCACCAGGTGACCTTAGAAGCACTTGAAAAGCTTTGCAGTTTTTATCATCAATTTTCAGAAATTATAGAAAAAAAGTCAAATTTCACCCAAGCATGTAAGAAACCCTACCTGGCGATTAAGTGTAAAGATAAAAGGTGTGGTTGTCCAACAAAAAACAAACATAAAAAATACACCAAATCTCACAGGACCTTCAAGGGAAAGAAAAGAAACAATATGAAGTTCTTTAGAAGAAAACCTTTCAGAGGAAAGGGGAAAAATCAGAGATGCTTTATTTGCGGGAAAAAAGGGCATTTCTCAAAAGAATGTCCTAATAACACCCATAAAGCCTCAAAATTGATTAACTCTTTCCAACCTCTAGAAGGAGACTTAGAATCTTTATATTTTGAACAAAGCTCTGCTGGTGAAGAAACAATTTTTGCCCTTCAAGATGTTTTGTCTTATGAAGCATCATTTTCGGAGTCAGAAGATGACAGATATCTCCCGGTTTACTCCATCAAAGAGATAGGCAGTTTTCTTCCTACTACACCACTTCCTTGTGTTGAAGTCCATGTTCTCGCAACAAAGTTTTCCCGTTCGAAGAAATTTATAGCTTATATGGACACTGGGACCCAGATTACCATGATGAATCCCAACATTCTCCCTGTAGAATCATGGGTGACACATGTTGCATACTTTGTAGCAGCAGATGAAAACGTTTTCAGACAAATCGAATGACCAAGGAGAAAATAAGGATTAAATTCTTCTGAGAATACATAGTCTAAACCAAGGTCATTTGCAGTAATCTACCAAACAAAGATATTATAGTAGGAATGGATGTCTATTCAACAGCAATTAAACTCCAAATTCTCCCCACATGAATCAAATTCAAAAGAGAATTCAAACCTTATTCTAGGATACTGAACCTGTATTCACTCTCTAAGGTTCCTGCTGGCTATGAAGAGATCAAGTCCAACTTTCTCAGACTATATGCAGATAGCCATGAGAAATTCCGCCACCCAAAACCTCTATGGAAGAATAAAGACTTCTTTGTTCAACTTCCTTTCAAGCTCAATGAAGATGTTAATCCAACCAAGGCCACTTATCCAGGGATGAGTCCATCAGATTACACATTAGCTAGGGAAGAATGCAACCAACTGCTCAAACAAGGTCTGATAGAACCCACCAAATCAGAATGGGCTTGCCAAGCATTCTATATGGAAAAGAGATATGAAAAGTTGAGGGGAAAAAAGAGGCTGGTAATTGATTACAAACCTCTAAACCATTTTCTCAAAGATGATAAATTTCCCATTCCAAAAGCCTCGTCCTTAAATGTTTTCATCAAAGATGCCCAGATCTATTCTAAGTTCGACCTTAAGTCAGTATGTTGGCAATTGGGTATCGACCCTGAAGATCGCTATAAAACGGCGTTCTACATTCCTAACGCCCAGTACCAATGGACCGTGTTACCATTTGGGCTTAAGGTAGCCCCATCACTCTTTCAAAAAGCCATGACTAGAATTTTTGAGCCCATGCTCAACAGTATCCTCATCTATATTGATGATGTGTTATTGTTCTCAAAAGATGAAAAAACCCATAAATAATTATTGGGCCAATTTCTTCAAATAGCCCAACAACATGTTATGATGCTCTCTGAAAAGAAAAGTCAATTGGGACAGACAGAAATTGATTTTCTAGGGATGCATCTCTCCCAAGGGAAATATCAACCTCAGCCTCATATTTCCCAAGAACTATTAAACTTTCCTGATGAAAATCTCACAGTTAAGCAAATCCAACAATTTCTTGGTATATTTAATTATATCCGAGATTTCCTGCCGAAACTGGCGAGATACACGAGTTCTCTATCCCAAATGCTAAAGAAAAAACCTCCACCATGGGGAACACAACAAACTGAAGCAGTGAAAGCCTTAAAGAAAATCACTCAAACTCCCCCTGCTCTAAAAATCCCTGGGAATGGAAAGAGAATTTTACAGACCGATGTCAATGATCATTATTAGGGAGCAGTCCTGATAGAAGAACTTGAAGGAAAAAGATACTATTTTGGCCATGCCAGTGGCCAATTTAAAGAAGCTGAAAAACACTACCACACCACCTACAAAGAAGCCCTCGCTGTAAAGATGGGGATACAAAATTTTGACTTCCACCTAAGAGGATACCAATTTGAAGTCCAGATGGACAACTCCTCTTTCCCTAAGATCCTTGAATTTAAAAATAGGATTCCTCCTGATCCTCAAACTCTTAGGCTCAAAGATTGGATTTCCATATATGATTTCTCAGTAAAACATATCAGGGGAACCCAAAATGTAATCCCAGACCTACTATCCAGACCCATGAAACCCATTCAAATCATCACAGCCAAGCACACTTTCCCTCTAATTCTTATGGTCAAACCACTACCAACCCATGCATCCAAAACAAAGAATCTTCCTCCAGGAATAACAACATCCTCTTCACCGTACCAACTCAAGCAGTATGCCAGGAACAATTTTTTCTATTACATGACAAAAATCATAAGGAACAAATTACCAAATCACAATCCTTATTTCCCAGATACACCTTTCCTCCTGCCAATTTTAATAAATCCAAATGCTAAATTCAAAAAGAACCATTTGTGGTATATTTGGTGTGCCACTTGTTTGTACTACATGCCTGTTCTTATTCCCATTGAGGCCATGTATCAGCATATAATGGATCCCGAGAAGCACAAGTCTTTGATTTGGACCACTCTTGAATGGTATTCTCAATTGCAACGGTGGAGAGATCAATTAAAACCAGTCATAGACGAGGTCAGAGAACGAAGAATATCTTCAGAAGATATTGGAAAACTTAAGTCTGTTTTCTTTCTACACAAGCCCTAACTCACAGATCCTGTGACTAAGCTGCTCAATAATAAGAGTTATGTTCACCTATGGGAAACCATTGATGAATATCCTCCTAGTCTAAAAGTCACAACGAAATTACTGGAATATGTTAACTACATCAACCTCTAGGATCCAAAGAAACTTGATGAAAGTTCAACTTGCATACATCATGAAAAGTTCATAAGACCAGAAGTTGGAGAAAGCTCGACTCAAGCCAAACAACAGAAACCAAATTCTCTGATGGAAGCTGAATTCTCTGAAGGACAAGTGGAAGAAGCTAATATGAGATTAGCAGATCACACCTACATGATGAATGATAGCTGGCACCGTGAGTCATCTCGCTATGAAGATTGCTTTTCTGATGAAAATTTATCTAATCAAAATATGTCCCCTCTCATCAACCCATTTGCAAATACTAAATGGACAAGTGTCCTTCAAAGATCACAAGCAAAGACAAAATGGACAAGTGTCCTTCAAATATCACAAGCATGATCATGAATAGTAAATTTTTGTCTTTTTGTGCAATAAGACTACAATAATGTAATCCGTTAGTGATAAGTGTGTCAGACTTTTAAAAAAGGCATTCATATATTATTATAAATGCCATGCTTGTAAATAATGTTGCTTTTCTCCTATATGTACCTCCTTGGCTATAAAAGGAGGGCTCTTGTAACATATTTTCATCAAGTATTCGCAAATAAACTCTCTTGTGTGCTTAAGAACAAACATGTTCTAAAAATCTATTCTTTGTCCCTCAAAGCTTTAGTTATTGTATTCATATCATATCTTCCCCCATAGATGCAAGTATGCTCTACACCAGCCTCTAAAAGAGGATCTTGTGTATCAGAAAACATTTGACCATTGATCCATACTACGGTCCTTGCTGTTATGAATTTAGGTTTTAATTGTTAGTCCATGTTATGCCTATGGTTGGCTATTTGAGGACGATACAATTAAGGCTGGGTTTCATGGCATGTAAGGCTCCCAGGCAGTATGGTATCAGAGCCTAACAGAAAAGAAGGGGGTGCATATGATATGAATATAATTAAGAGAGTGAGTAAGGGAGAAATCACTTCAACATGGAAACACCTGGACCAAACACTCAACCTATTACTACTACTTCTTCTTTATCACTTCTTAAACTCTGTAAAAAGACTAACTTTCATAAAATAGAAAACCTTATTGAGTACTCTCATGTTCCTGAAGATGCTCAAATTTCTGAAACAATACCTCCTCTGTTGAGTCTGTACAACATCTTCAAAAGACAAAGAAGTGTTACCAGATCCATCCGAAATCTTATCTCTACAAATCACCCTCATATGAAAGTGTACGTCCGGTCATCTAGACTATACCAATGCAGCCTAAGAGCTACAAACCAAGAGCAGTACGTAGATCTGGAGATTCCCCAATATCTCATAAACCACTAGAAAACTGAAGGATATACAACCTTACACTTTGGGGTTGTCAGACTCATCCTTTATCTTCATGGAAGGAAGAACCAACCCGTCTTTTGCAAAATAGCTCTACTGGACTCCAGCTCCTCCACTATGAAAAT